TCTTGTTTAATTTCAGGACGTTTCCTCTTTTTAATATTCTCACAAGCCACCCTGCAGCATTCCTCTCCTTTCTTGGTGCTTGCACCCTTCAAATCAAAGCCAGGCCATAATTCATTTTTTAGCTGAGACATAATTTAAAATAGATAGGTTATTTCCTTATAAATTTGCCCCTCCAACATCCTAATCATTTTTAATTCTCTTATTTCCTCTGGCCCACTCTATTACCCAAACTGTAGCTCAGTATAGTTATAAACTCACCATGTGAAAAATATCAGAATATAATATCAGTTGAATAACCTCTTCCTCCTCTTCTGTGAAACAAAGGTTACTGTCATTGGCAAAGACCTGTAGGTTGTAATTAAATGTATTTAGAGAATCCAGAAAGCATCCAAATAATGACAGTCCCTTTACCTGGCTTTAAACACTGGTAATGATCCAGAAACACGAAAGTAAAAAATCTCTAGTCCTATAGCCTCATAATGACCTTTTCAAGTAGCAAGTCTTTCAGACCCTTTCATCTGTTCATAGAGTTCAAATTCACCTCTTGTGATATAGTATATTGCAGGAATTAGTAGATTAATTCTATATAATTCGAATAAGATACTAATTTAGTCTGCCATAAATTTTAATAGCACTGCGCAAGATTATTAGCGGTCATGTGGATTGAAGCCCTCAAGTAAGCAGGGGTTATTCAGAGAAGTTTTGGCCAACACTTTAGCCAGTTATTATAGGTCATGAGCCATTACATGATGTTCTGCATTAATAATGCAGGAACGGTGCTAATTGTCCAAGAGGCACAGCGGGCCCTATTAAACAATGACTTAAACAGCACATTGATTTTGAAACTTTTAATTGAGCTATCATTTTCTAATAGAAACATCATCAGGTATCTCCTTTTCTCCTCTGATGCACAGTATATTCAGGAGCACTATGGAAGAGAACTATTTCATGGAATATTTCTCATTGGAAACTTTCTCTAAGTGTAGGCCTATGTTTTGGGTTGTCTAAGAATGACACCTGCTCACAAGTCTGATCCTTGTCTATGCCTAGTCTACTGACATATTAAGCAGTGAAACCTTATCACCCATTGCAGATGTATGAGGAGATGAGATTAATTGCATTCCTTCGTACACATCATCTTCCAAATTGTATAATGCGTACCAACTACAGGAGGAGGTAGCTGTGTGGATGGGTGGTTCACTAGAGACACGTGTGCTTGACAGTGTGGCATTTGGCTGGGATTGTGTATACAGAGGTGCCAAGAGTCAGGGATTTGAGAATATCAGGGGCATCAAACAGCCTGCAGGCTGGATCTGGACCATGAGTTGCTGGCCCAACCCCACTTGCTGGTCCTGGCCTTATATGATGCATATCGTGCACAGGCTGGACACAGCACTGTGTACCCTACATCCAGCACAGGGGGTCAGTCTGGGGTGCATGCTACAGGTGGTGCCCACAGCAAGCCAACTCTGCAAACTGGCCCTGGGGCTGGTGGGAACCAGAGCCAAGGGATGATTTGGCAGGGTGCTGCAAACAGTGCGTGCCCTGCGCCAGTCCCCTATGCTGCATGCAGTGTGAGTGTTCAGTCCGACCGCATGTGCCACGTGCTGCACACACTGGTCTTTGTGTGTGTACTGCCTGCAGAGTGCTGGCTAGACTCAGCACTGCATGAGGGGCCAGCCTGTAGGCTGTATGTGGCACCCTGAACCAGCCCCTGTGCTGCCTGCAGCACCACGTCCAGTGTGCAGGCTGGACCTGGCACCACGGGCACTGCACATGAGTTTGGTCCCAGTCCGGTGCAACAAGCCTTATCTGGCCTATAGGATATCTGAACTTTGATACCGTCAGACTGGATAAACTCCTAAGGGTCCTTGCAGACAGATGCTTCCATTACAGTGGAGAGACTAGTCTCCTGAGCCACCTCCCTGTCTGATTGCATGTGCCCAGGGCAACTACAGTTAACATTCACCCCGTTGCCTTTTCTTGCCCACCTGAAACTATGCCTGGGCTTTTTCTCTAGCTCCCGCTTCCCCTGAGCATCTCTGCTCTCCCCTGCTGTTGTGGTTCCTGCAGATCCTGGCACAGGGGTGGGAACTCAAAATAATTACCCACCCCTGTTCTAGGCCATTGCTTCTCCAGTGAATGATCTCCTTGTGTAGCTGCTGCCACCCATTGCTTGTTAGCTGCTACTACTCATCCATCATCCCTGGCTCCTCAGACTTCAGCTGTTTCAGTACCTAGAGCCTTGCACCTCCACCTCCTGCTTCAAGGCTTTTGCACTTAATCTTCCTGGCCCCAGATCTGCTCCTTATAATGTGACATGCACCTTGGCTCATGTCTTTCCTCTTGGACTCCTCTTTTCCCTCAGTCCAAACATCAACCACTTCAGCTTCCTGTTTGCAAGCCCTGGCGCTGTAGCCTTCTTTCTTCACAGCTCCGCTTGACTGCGTTTTGAATATCAGCTGAGCAGGGTGGATTCAATTTAAATCAAATTGTTTTAAATCACGATTTAAATCAGCGGCCAAGAAGCCTCGATTTAATCATTGTTTTCTACAAAAAGTGCTTTCTGGTTGTTTCATATAACCTTAATACATATTATTCACAACTCGGAGATAGACGTAGGTTTCATTTTCAGACGGTACACACTGTACATTTTAAAGCAGTGATTTATTTTGATATTGTTTTCAGGTGAATTTTGCAGCTACATCAGAAAACTGAATTATGATTTGGTTATTTTACTTACCAAAGCTAACTGAAGTAGATACTTGTGAAGTCACTGGGAGGTGAACTATCTCTAATTCACTTGATTAATCGTGGCTGTTTGGGGGATGTTTTTGCCATGCTGTATTAGGAGGACATCAAATGAGAGCTGCAGCCATATCATCTTAGCTTGGGGCTTTCTTCATTTTCTTCTAGTTTTCTTCTCATTTTTTATTTCTGCTCCCTTTTTTGGCCTGGCAAGCCTGCTGCCATGATAGGTTTTCCTTTCTGCCATACCATTCCCCCACTAGATCCCACATCAACAGAGAGGCTATACCCAGAAACATATCCCTCAAGGCTTCTGGAATATTCTGCTCAAAATGCTTCTCTTTTTCTACTAATGCTCCCCCCCACTTGTGTTTATCTCCAGACTCCTCCCCCTTGCCCAGATCTACTCCATCCCCAACAATCCTCTATTCATTTAACTTCTTGAAACATTGCACTTTTAGAGAAAGGGTAAGGGCTTGACTCTGTGGACACAAACTTGCAGAGAGATGAGAGGGCTGACGGGTGGGTAATCAGGTCTGTTATCTCTCATCCCCATGTGCTGCTGTTAACAAGGATGTGATCTCTGGAGACACAGATCCACAGTTTGAGAACCAAAACTAAGCATTGCAGAGATGCTTAATAGGATCTTCTACACTGAGCACCAAGTCCCATTGGGTGGAGTGGTTTTCTTTAATCTTCACTATAGAGGAGCCTCTGGGAACCCCAAAAGATTGGGCCCCTGATGGTTTGTTGTGACCTATTTATAAAACTTTTCTAAAAAGTTTATATGAATATATTGTCTCAAATAGTATATAATTAGAAGTTATGATCCCTATTCCGTGATGATATCTTTGAGCTTTAACATATCTTAAATTAAAGTCATCTTTATATAGGTTTATTTTTTTAGAAAAGCATCTTAAATAAAAAAGGTACGATGAAATAAAAAAAGTCTGACTTAAATAAAAATCCACTTTTTATTTTTTTTTTTAAAAATTGGTGATTTTTATCCACCCTGCAGCTAAGTGGTAGTCTCTTCCCAGCCATGTTTTACCACCAAGGGCCAATTTCTCTCCTTTTCTTTTGTGATGAAAATAAGCTCTGAGTTTATAGAGGAACAAAGATACCAGGAGCAGTGGCTGAAGCAGGAACCAAGCTACACAGCATTTTCCAGGCCCAAGTGATTAAAAAAAACTCATGAGCTAACCCTCACCCGTTCCCCCAGATCACACATTTGGCTTTGAAGTCATTAAAGAATCATGAATAATTATGTGGGGGTTCTTTTTCTTTGTATCGTGGTTACTGAGCTGTTGAAGTTCCCTTGGGTCTTGGTTTCAGTCTTTTCTGTATCATTGGGAAATTTTTAAATGAAAATGGAGGTTACTTTGTGACCACTAGATGCCAAAAGCTGGGGCTTTATGGCAAACACAAAATACTAGAGTCTGACAGTGTGCATGGGTTTCACTCCTACGTGGGTCGGCTTGTGGGAGTGGAAGCTGGGAGCAGGACAGAGGGAAATGCAACCTGGCCTTCGGTAGAAGAGGGGATATAAGACAAGGTTGTTGGGACCCAGCATTACCTCTTTTCAGGCATGGTCTTATCCTGATGGCTCCTTGTTCCAGACTTAGGTAGACCTTGATTGCAACTCCCAAGTGCATCCCCCAGCACTTGTCCACATCAGTCCCACGTATGACACACGCACCAGAAATAAGAGATGTTTTTCCCACATTGTTCTTAATAACTGCAATTATAGTTAAGTAAAACCTCCTTTTGTTCTGCGGACTGATTGTGGTCACAGAGTCCTTCTACAGCTCCTTGAAGCAGGCCTCTGTTTGAGAACTCCTCTCACCAACAGTGAGGTAAGAGCCTCGAAGGGCCTGCAAACAGGTCATCTAATATTACAGGGAGATGAAACAAGTGTTTTAGAACCATCTGGGTCTGGTGTATTTATTTGTACACCTTTTAAAGCACTCTTCGCTGTGAATGCAAGGGCAGGCATAGGCTGCAGTGAAAATGGAACTGAAGAGCATCTATTAAAGTACTCTTTGGTGTTAACAGTCGGAGAGGTCCCTGGAGTCTCCCATCTAAAGTAAGTTGCAAACGTTTTGATCCCTACTCATCGTGCTAGGTGCATTAAAACATTAGAAAAATTTAGCGAGAGGATAACTAGGACCTTACCACTACACCACTTGTGAGACTAGTGTTGAAACAGCCCATGTGCAGTGTGACGCAGCCTGGCCTTTCACCCCTTCCAGCATGCCAACGTCTAAGGGTGAAGATTACTCTCCCAGGACACCGACCTGCAACAAAGCCTCCAGGAGCAGTGCAGGGAGCAGCTCAGGGAAGAAAACGGTTGGTTTCAATGCAGCCATGGAAAAAGGACCCCTCTGGATGCAGACAAAGGAGGAAACCAGCAGGTCAGGGAAAGGTAAGATGATGTGGAACGTGTAATTTTTGTTAAAGGCATTTGGTTGTCTTAGGCATTTATTCATCTGTGGTTCAGTTAAATGACAAGACCGGGGAGGGGAAGTTGCAAGTTGTGTGTAGTGACCCAGTGATTGTCACGGGTAAAGTATCAGAGCTTCCAAAGCCTAGTAACTAGTAAATGCTTGTGTTAGTATTTCTAACTGGAAAAAAAAAATAGTTCTTTATTCCTCAAAAGCTACTTCAACTATCCTTTTTGCTTTTGTAGCAAGATAGCAAAGAAGCAGCTTAATTGGGTTTGCTTTTGAGATGCAATCTCCTTCCCATTCACTCCTTCCCGGAGTAATGACTGCCACCATTGCAACCTGATATTTTGCCACACAAGGATGTCTTTACATCTAGACTCCATCCTGCTCTTAGCTTTGCACCTTCATTTAAGGAGTTGAGAAAAACAGTCTTTCTGGGGAAGAGGGAGGGGGTGGAAAATAGAAACAGCTTGGAGGTTTCACTGCAGAACCTAACATAATCTTTAGTTCAATTATGAGCCGGCTTTTTTTTTAACTTGTCAACCAGTTTGTGGTTTGTGTCAGCACAAAAAAAATAAAGAAAAAGGCAAAATGAGAAAAAATGCAGTGCAGTTCTCAAAGGAACAAATAACTTGTGTTATTGGTTAAGACCGAACCAACATTAAAAAGCAGTCCCTGTGAAGAAACTTTCAAAAGTGTGTCATCAGACTGGACCCAAACAGTGGCTGAGGTTAATCTCTTCCAAGGCACAGCTACAAAAGTTGGAAGCCTGTAAAGGGCTTGTGTCCAAAAAAATCAATTTCTAATTTGAAACAAAATCATTTTTGACTAACAGGGGTTCAGGACCCATTACTTTTGCTGTATAGTCTGCTGACATTTCAGCACTTTCTGTTGTGCACAATGAATCCTAATAGTCATTTTATAACGTTGCTACACCAATCAATTTAAGCAAGAGAAAGCCGTTACAATCCTGCAAAGTTTCAGGGGCAATTTTCACTGATGGTTTTCTTTTATATATTTTT